GCTAAACGAGAGCACGCAGAACGTGACATCGGAGAGAGACTTGGGGGCGGCCTTTGGGCGGGCCATGCAAGCCCATCCGCTCAAGGAGAGGGGCCTCGAGTTCGCACTCCGGAAAACTACAGTACAAGAGTTCTTCCGGGACTTCATCTCCGACAAAGCTGTCCTGGGAATCGACAAGTACCACGGTAAGGGGTTGTGGATCTGGTCACGTGAGTGGCCTCTGCCAGTTATGTGTCTTGATGACTGGCTGCAAAGAGAGCCACAGGAGCGAGTAAACGTTCCCTCTTGCGTCACGCCTGATGCATTCTCGTTTTTCCTTGGAAACAGAATGGCAGGGCGACAAGGATGTGGAGGTGTCGCCCTGGCAAGAGGTCAACCAGGGAGTGGGCGCCACCCGGGTGGTTCGCTTTGTCTCGAGCCTGGAGGTAGGTGGGGGCTCGCACGCGTGGGCGTGGGGAAGTCTTTTTGCTTCAGGGCACCATAAGCAAAGGGTGTAGCGCCTGTGGGGTCGCACCACCATATCTAAATCTCTCATCTCAGTAAAAGCTTTCCTAGCGAGAGATTGGGCATGGTTATGGCGACATAAGGGCTCGTCGTCCACACGGTCGATCGCCGCTCAAGCCCGCCGACTCATGACCCTTGTCTCTCACAGGGACTTCCCGTCGGGCCGCCCACGGCTCTAGTCATGCAATTACAGCGTGTGCGGGTCTTCGGTCAACATGGGATGGTCCTGGAGACATCTTCCTCCATGGAGAACGTGCCCGCGGGAGATTGCTTTACGCTGGAAGATCGCTGGGTGGTCCGACCCCTGCCCGCCTCTGAGGCCCCGACGAGGACAGAAGCCGGCGCCCTGTCCATCGAGACGTCCTTCGAGGTCAGGTTTGTGAAAAGCACATTGTTCAAGAAGATAATCGAAAGTCGGTCTCGGGCGGATACTCTGGAGTATCACCGCCGCTGGTTCGAGATGATTGAAAAGCATGTGGCACGTCGACACCACGAGCGATCCCGCACGCGTGAACAGGCGCGTCGTTCCTCACACCCACTACGACGGACCGTGGAAAACAATGCAGGGAGGGGAGAAAAGACTGGTGTGTATAAGGAGGGTAAAGGCGGGAGGACGGGACAGGGGCCTGGCGGTGCTCTGCAGAAAACGGGTGTGGGGCGGGGGGAGGGTGCTTTGCTTCCGCCACAGTCTGCGAGATTGCAGTCGGCCCTCCACCTTGTCAAACGGATCAAATGGGATCGTTTCGTCCTCGCAGTCCTTGTCTTCACCCTCGTCTTCTATCTCCTCCGCCTTGTGCTCAATACGATGCTCCCGGTGTCCCTACGGTTTGCGCCTCAAATGGGGCGGCAAATGGACGTACCGTCTCCCCTGACTGTGGAGCAATGGCGGGACATTCTTTCGGAGCTGACTGCCTTGCGGGCCGAGTTGCAAGAGATGCGACTGGAGATCCGCGCCCTGATCTCAAAGTCAGGGCCCGAGGGTCGTTGAGGCTCGTGGACTTAACAAGTGACAGCCACGCGACCTGCGTAAGATACCATGGGGCTGCCCGGAGAGTAATGAGAAATGTTGAGGCATTTTCTGTATTCTCTCCTTGTTCACTGGAGGGAGGGACGTGTAATGATGAGGTGTACATTGGGACAAATTGAAGAAATAGCTTGAGGTAGAATCGGGTGTCACATTGAAGCTAAACTCGCCATTTGTGAAACGATTGTTTGTTTGACGCAAGTCGATATCTTTGTGTATACACATCAGAAAGTCCGGTACAGTACTTTCTATCCCTCCATCCTCTCATACGCAGGTCTGGCCTTTCATTGCTCGCTTCCGTATTTTTGTGCGAGAAATATTACACAGGCTTGCTCCACACGATAGACCGTTTCCTACACTCGCTCCCACTGAATTTGATAACAACAAATATTTAATTTTCGGTACAACGCTGCAGGAGTCTTTGTGCCTCAGGAGCCAACGAGCTCATGTCATGATAGACCGCCCGCATCTTGTCCTTGGTGGCCTTCAAGCTTTCCTCCGCATCGCGTAAGAGAGTGACCTCCTGTGTAGTGGCAGAGACAATAAGACGACGAGGCAGGTTGGATGGTCGCGGGCACCTTCAGGAGCCACCCGATCCAAAGGATGCACGCAGTCACGGCTTTCCCCTCTGGACCCCCTACATCGACCTACCCTCTCCTGCATGCCCCGCAGCTCGGCCAGCTCCTTGCGCTTAATGACCATTCGCCGATGCCGCGCTAAATCTTCAGGAGGCATGTCGTCCGCCACACTGTCATTGCAGTTCTCGTTTCCAAATTGCTCCTGGGGGTCCGTCGACTTCATTCCCTCTTTCCCAGTACGTGCGTTTCTCCTCCCCTTCGTGCGACTGGCCGCTTCGCGATGAGTTGCCGCCTCCGATATCTGTGCCTCCACTTGACGAAATTTATCTTCCAGACCTAGCTCGGTGCATAGTTCTTGAAATTCCTTTTGAGCAAAAGGTCCTAAAGCTTGCATTTTTTCTTTCACCATTGTCATCAAGATGTTGAAAGAGGGCCCGTCCAACTGGCTTTTCAAATCTGCAAACGCTTCCTGTTCGCCAGTGACAAAAAGTAAAGAAAGATGTGCAGTAATCGTGACGCAAAGACCAGGAATGCGTAACATGATGACTTGACAACAGCAGGGAGGGAAACATCAATCGCTATAAAATACGGTTGCACCCCTCAATTAATTTACACACAGGGCTTTTCCTTCCCGGAAACGGACTCCGTACCGGTATGTCAGTAGTACAGAGGTGCTTCGTGGAACTTTCCAGGTATTTGTCCACAAACAATGTTCGCAAATGCTTCATCCTGGCAGTGGGGGTTTGGGCACTGGCGTTCTCCATGATGACGAATAGCAACAGCCGAGAAGGTCCCTGTCTGGAGACAAAAAGAAAGTAAGATTCCAAGTTGCTTTAAGCAAAGTTTTGGTCTATGCCGGGGTAGGTATGTACTAGCGCGTCAATTGCGGTGGGGGGCGTGAAATTTGTGAGACGAGGTGTGGGCGAGGGCGGGAATGAAGCCAGACGGCGTAAGGGGGCTTAAAAAGGGTCCGGCCTCAAACGACTGCGAAGGGAAAAGAACGCCGAAGAGCACACGCCCTACGCCGGCATGCACGTTCCAGTTCTCATGGTACCGTCCATTGTCGCGCGCGCGGATTTG